TGAAACCTTATGAAAATTTATATTTATATTGTGATGGAATTAAGAAAATACATGGTACAAGTGATTATGATCGATATCCTTATGGTCAATGTTAAAAAATTATGATTGTGCGATTTATCTATTATATGAATTGATTTGTTTGTTTTTCTTTTAATAAAACTTTATGAGAATGTCGTCAATAGATAAAAAAATATTATGTATCAATTATAATAAATATCATGACAAAAGCAATATTTCAATGTTTTATAGCATTTAATAAACTCATTGTAATAAGAGTACATCGAAAAGCATGTAAATCTCGTTTTCATCGATATTTAATTGTCAATCTTAAATAAACTAATAGAAAAAAATTTAACCGATAAAATATAGGGAGAATTCCATAATTAAAAGATATGAGTGGGTGGATATGAACGTTAAATCCATTCTAAATTCACACCCACACCCCAAAAATTAAATTAATTTCTTCATTGTATTACTGAGTTTTGTGTAATATATCTATATATGTATTTGTTTTTTTGTTATTTCTTGTTGATGGTCAGAGTTTTTTGTATTGAAAGTGTAAATACAACAGATTTGTTAAAAACACCGTATATTTTTTTGTAGAAGAATTGCTTTTAGGCTAATTTCTATTGTGTTATTATTTGTTTGTCTCTATGTATTTTCGAAATTAACTGTAAAACTCGATTAGAAAATAGACGTCAAACAAATATCATGACTTGTTAAAATCAGGAAAAAAACAAGTTACTAATATCTATAGGAAAAAATGTTAAAAAGTACGTTCAGTATTTATGAGCACTTTTTTTAAAGTCATGTCTTTTGCTGCTCATTATGAAAGACAATAGGATGTGAACATTTAAATAATTAATAATGACTGCAAATAATCAGTTCTATTCAAGTGTCTAAAAAAAGATCATTAATCATTGTTGTGCCTTTATATGAACAATTTGGACGATATTTATGAAAATAACATATGAATATCTAGTGAAATAATCTTTAAGAAAATATCCACGATATATAAATTATAAAACTAAATATTTTTTTTTGTAAAATAAAACTTTAAGACAATTGATTCAAATATCATTGTATTAATTATCTATATTTATGATCGACAAATTATACTGACGATTTTTGTTTGAAAGAAAAACTTTTTTTCTGATTAAAACAATACTAGAGAGAATAATAGATGGTTTTCGAAGAATTAATTCCTTTTTTAAAAATAATTCTCCTTACAAAAATAATGTTTTTTCTATAATATATAATATTTTTCTTTTCATTGAAGTTCTTGTCTCTCCTAGAGAATGAGTTTTTCGTGAATTTTTTTAAACTATGATTTTTACTAATTTTTCGATTGAAAAAAATGATCTGTTTTGTTTTTGAATAGATTTTTATTAGACTCTTTAAATCCTCATTGTCTTTTTGGTAAACTAAGATTTTATTTTTTATTTTAATAATTTGTCGAAAAAAGCGTTTAGAAAAGCAAATTCTATTCCATTGTAATGTAAGATCTTAATCGTATTTTGAAATTCGCAATGCACATTTACACATATAATCTTCAGCTAATTATTTACAGAATCAATTTTTCGAACAGAAAGAAAAGAATTGCTTGCATATAAATACTAACATATTTAATTAGATGTAATACTGAAAGAATAGATAAGAGTAATTCATATTATTTTCCTTCTATGAACATAATCATTTCAGAGCTCAAAATAAATTATATTAAGATTGTGTAAATCGTTAAATTCACATAAGTTTTATCGAAAATAAATGCATATTTTTCATTTCTTTGAATATCATAAACTATATGTGCAGGCATGATATTTTTTTCTTTTGGTCTAGTTCTCAAAATTATTTTACTCTAATGAATATATTGCATATATGAACGTTGTTGACAATACATTTAATTTATTTTGTTTTGACAATTTAAAAGTCATAAATACCGATTTTAGAGTCCTTTTCATGATATTTTATTGAATATAACTGAGAGCACTATTCTAAATTATTTTCCTATCTATTGTTTATAAAAGGCATTGTTTTCCCTTTTCTTTTAACTCATTTTCAATAAACAATTTTTTCGATGGAAGATAAGTAATATATGATATTAGACAGTTTTTTTTATATTTTTTCTTCGCATAAAATCTTAGTTTGTATGAAGAAAATGGAGCTAAAAATAGAGAGGTCTCCTAAATTTTTACTCTTAATGTTGTGATAATAAGGCTTATGTAGAATGGAGAATGGTAAATAGAGTTTAATATTTTTTTTCAATTATTTAAAGAGAATATGCTACTGAATTAATGTTTGTATTAATAGCATATCGATTTTAAGTCAGATTATTAGTAATCATATATGCAAAGTTTTTGATATTACTATCTTTAACTAATTATAAAATAGTTTATTGAGAGATATAGATATTTCTTATCCATGAATTTTTCTAGAGTATTATTGAAGCCAACATGGGTGATCTAAAGGAAATATATCCTCCATCGCGTAATCAACATCAAACTGCATCAATATCTAATGATCATTGGGTTCCTGTGACACATAATCGATTGTAAGTTTTATATTTATCATACTAACAAATGATTTTCAAGATAAATTAACTGAATATTTGTTTTTTAAAAGGAGTACACGCTTGAAAATTTTGCTTGGTGCCTCTGCAGTGATTTGTATAGTTATGTTCCTCATCGCACTACTTGTACCCATACTTATCAAAGGCAAATCAACATCCTTTACTACTACTGCCACCACTACAACCACAACCACTCAAACTACATCAACATCCATGACAACAACATCATCAACAACTTCGACCACAACAAAGTCTACAACATCCACATCCTCAACCACCGCGACTTCGACGTCGACAACCACTACAACATCATCTTCAACGTCAACCACATCATCATCAACAACAACAACATC